ATTAGGTAGTGATGGTGTTGTAGTTGTACAACTCTGTAAGTATAGTAAAAACTACTTATTTCTACTCCTTAAAACCATATGGTATGTTTTATGGTATGTTCGACCTGTTTCTAAAAAAAAAAAGAAAAGGAAAATTGATTTTTTTAAATAAAAAATTAAAAAGATGGAGATTTCTCTTTGAAAATTCTGCTAAATATGTAAAAAGGGAAAAAGAGTTAAATGCAATTTGATAGGTCCATGTAATGAAAGAGTATAATTGAGAACTACCCAAGGTTTGTCTATGACTGGAGGCTATATCCCTAGAAGTGCAGGAGGTGAGAGAGCCTAGTCAATGGACAATAAACATTAGTTGTCAGAAAGGAGAAAGGAAGTATATTTCTACAAGGAAGAGCTAGTACCCTGAATGACAGATAAGGTTGGACCAATGGATCTGGAGATGGTCACGGAACCCAAAAAAAAGGTTTGGGGTTAGCTGAGAAGATCAGTTATAGCAGTGGCAGTCCATAAGGCTATTGGCTCTTAAAGTGGGTATTTACTGTGAGAATGAAGTTAACAGAGAAAGGGACAACAAAAATTGTTATAATCCTTGATGTTAGAACTTAGCATGTGGATCTTAATTCTAACACAGCAGTGCCAAGTTTTTTATTTTATTTTTTGATTGTTTTTGTTTTTGTTTTTTTTCTTTTCTTTTTTTTTTTTAATTACAAAAAGTCATAGAGTTTAATGAGAAAAAGTCACTGGGGTGTTGGAACACAATCATCCTCAAATGTTGTTGAGTGTGAGGAAGAAGAAAAAGTCCCACTTTCCCTGCCAAACAGAGAAATGTGTGGTTATTGTTTCATGTAAGACAGCCAGCACCTGTCAAGTGTCTGCTGCACTCTGTGCTGATGAAACGGGTAATGAATCAAGGAATAGGATAAGGACAAAGGAGACTTGAGACTCCTCCTCCTGGTGCAGGCATTTGTTACATGGTAAGAAAAAGTGTCATCCAAATTCTCAAGACCATTCTAGATACCAATTTCACTCTTTGCTTTTTTTTTTTTTTTCACTTGTCTTCTTTTTCTAACCCTCAGCAACACTGATTTCTCAGGACCTTTGTTCATGTTTTAAGTTCTATCACTGTAGTGAAACAGCTTTCACTATAGTCACCAATGATTCTTAAAGAATCATTTCCTAAAAATTTTCTTGCTTGATACTTTTACAAAATTAAACAATGGTGTTCACGATTTCACTGTCCATATACTCCCTACCCTGACCCTTCTGTATGTCTTTCTGCATCTCTTTCTGGCCATTGAATGATTCTGTATTTGCTCTCATGACAATTCTTTGCACTTTTTTAGATGTCTCTTTCCCCAGACACCTTCTTAATGTGGTAATTGAAAATGTGAAAATCAGACCAGCCCTCTGAATACACACAATTAATACATACACATAAGCACACACTGTGCTTTTATTATAAGTTTTGAAATCAGATGATATCAGTTCTCCAACTTCGTTCTTTTTTTTTTTTTTTAAAGTTTTGTATTACAGGTCCTTTACATTTACACACAAAAAAACCTTAAAGTCTGTGTTTCAATTGCTACAAAAACACAAAAGAGTTTGTGGTTTTGAATGGAATTTTTGCATTAAATATATGGATCAATTTTTGAAAAATTAGCATATTAACAATACTAAATCTTCTAGGACATGAATATCTTCATTAATTAGGTCTTCAAACCACATTTAATAGTTTTCAGTGCACATATTTTGTCTGAATTTTATGTATGAATGAAACGTCTATATTGTAATTTAATTTTCCATTTGTTTATTACCAGTATAGAGATATAACAATTGATTTTGTGTTCTGCATCTTGCTAAATTCATTTATTAGTTCTGGCATGATTGTATCAAGATTTTCTTTGTAAGCAGTGATTTCTTCTCAATAGAATCAATATGTTTGCCTCTTATTTATTTTTCTTGTCTTTTTAAACTGGTCCAAAACTCTTGTACAATGTTGAGTAGAAATAGTATAGGAAAACTTCATTACTAATTCCCAGATTTATAAAAATGTACTTATCTTTCATCATTTAGTAGGATGATAGAAGGTTGAGAAAGTTTCCTTCTATTGGTTACTGAGAGTTTTTAAAATCATGAATGGGAAATTTTCAAATTCCCATGTTGAATTTTTCAAGTGCTTTTATCTATTGAATTTATTATTTCTATACCATTAATATGACAAATTTTATTAACTGATATTTCAAAGTAAAGTCAAAACTACTGATGGAAACATTCCAAGTGAGTAAACTGAATCATCGTATTTACACATTGCTGGTTTGATTTGAAAATATGTTTTTAAGGATTTTGTTTTCTCTATTCATGAGGGATATTTGATTAGTAGTTTTCCTCTATTATCATTTCTTTGATTATCAAGATAAGTGCAACCTCATAAAATTTGCTGCACAGTATTATCTTGTCTATGAATTTTGTAAGGAATCCCCAAACATATATGTTATTTATTCATCAATGAATCTACATAGACTTGCAGATTTTTTCAGCAAGGTTTGTTAAATACTGCACAATCTCAGCTTTGGGTAATCCTTTTTGGGGTACTTTGCCCATTTCATGTAAATTGGCAAACTTACTGGTTGTTCATAAAAGTCCTTATTCCCTTTTTAATGTCTGTAGCATGTTTTCCCTTTTCATGTAGCTTCATTCTGGTCACAAATACTTTTTAAGACAGTGTAGTTTCCAAAGTCCATCATTTACATGATACTTCAAATTCATAATGGTGGTAATTCCTCTTTTAGGACATAGTTTCTTGTGAAAGATGATTCTTAATGTTTAAAATAGTGCTATAAAAGTGTTGTGTCTGTGAATGTGCTCTCCACAGTTAAAGATTATGGAGCCCTGACCAACATGGCAAGGAAAAGACCTTCCCACAAGAGCAGCCTCTCAAGATTAACCTTTTGTATCTTTTGTATCATTATTACTGTTTCCATGTAACTAAACATGTATTCAAAATTTTACTGACTCCCATCCGATATCACTTTGCACAAGTTTACAAATGAAAAACTTGCATCGCAATAGAAAAAACATGAGTTTTGATGATCTGACTGCAAATTCTGGTTTCACACATTAAAGATAGGGACTTTGATATAATCCTTCTCAGCATCTACATGATCAAAACCTATAAAATGAGATTATAATCTGATTTAGTTATGAGTTAAGAATCACTCACAATTATTCATTGTTCCTGAAGTTCAGTTAATGTCAGTAACTCCTAATTAATTTTATGCCAGTTTTCTCTGGATATTCAATTTCTTTGTTCAGCTTATCAGTGGAGAAAGGTTATGTGTCCTCAAAATAAGTTGCAAGATTGAGCATCATTTCTGTGCTTTGTTTAGGTTATGATCTGAAAAGGGGCATCACTGAATTTTTTTTTAAATGACTGCTGGGACCATAACTGTGCTCCCTGTAGTAGTTTCTCTTCATGGGAACTGTTTCGGATAGTTTCTATAATCATCAGATGCAGATTGTTGGTTCTCTCCTTCAGGGGAACACTCAATAATAGAATCACAAAAGTTTAAATGATCTCTCTGAGATCATTTAGAAAATAGTTCAAGACCATTTAGCAGGCACTTTGGGGGCTTTCATGCTAGAGTTCTGGAACTTTCCAGCATCTATTGCTGCTTCATCTCAATTGCTTAAAAAAAAAAATGCTTAAAGAGTCACAAAAGAGGAAGGACTTCTCAGCTCCTATCTTCCCTTAACCACTGCATGAGAAGACTGAACTCTACCACCACTGTGTGAAAAGGGTAGTCAACATAACAGGACATACAGAGGGAGGAGGAAAATCATTTATTAGATGTTTCCTATTTAAGTTCAGGTTTTCATTAGCATCATGGACTATTCTTCAAGAGAGAAGATGGTCAAAAGGAGCATCTTTTATTTCGGCTGTGTAGACATCAAAGTAAAATTTTGTTCTCAAATTAAAGATTATCTAACAGACTTTGATCTTGTGGTGTAAAAGCAACAGAATCCATCTAACGTTCATTCTGAGAGACCACAGGGACACATTGGTCTGTCCTGGCGTGCAGCACAGAGATAAAAGCAACAGCTGAATAATCTTAATAGAAGTTAGACAGCCGTATGGTGTGCTTGTTGGCACATTTTCCTCTTAAAAAAATTAGGCATGCTGAATTTTATTGTTTTGCTCACTAAACCCTATCAATCTTCATGAGCTTATAATTAAGAAAATATTATACTTGGCAGGACTCCCTGCTATTATCAAATAACTTTGAAAAGAAATGGAAAAGTACAAGTTGTATAACTGTTCGTTTCAAATTCTAGCTATTTGAAATGTTAATGTAAGACCACAAAGGATTCTCAGTATTTTTGCGTGCGTGCATTTTAAAAGGCTGAACTGAAAAATTGGTTTTAAACAATTCCATTACTAAAAATTGTAAACAACAGAGAATATTTGTCTCCCCGGGCCCCCACCCCAAAGATTTGCTTTGTCCAAATCTGAGAAACACAAAACCTAACAAAAAAGCAGTTGATTCTTAAATCCTCTCTCTCCTTCTGACAGCAGATGGCAGTATTGATGCATGAAAAAAAAAAATCCCTTCATGTTACTTTTTCCTTTACCTGCTAGGGTTTTCTCTGTAAATTTAGTCAAGGGATTTGAATCTAGAATTCCTTGTGGGATGATATGGTTGCCCTTTTCTTAGCATTCTTTCCCCCCACGTTTTGCTTTTCTTTATATAAGAAGATATATTTTCCATTTGCTGTTCTCGGTATGCCTCGACAAAGTTATTTTTAATTATTATTATTATTTTTTCCCACCAACACCCATTTGGCATTCGACTAAATGAATGCCAAGAACATACTCAACCTAGCAAAGGCTCTGGAGAAACAGGTGCTCAAACTTCCCAGACAGCCAGCGTCTGAGACCCTTTCCTGTGTCTTCTAATGACTTCTCCAAAGTGGAACATTCCTAAACCAAGTCCCTTTCCTTTCAGATTCCTGGAACATCATCTGTAGTTCAGAGAAAATGGAAGCCCCTGCATCCGGTTTCACAGCCCCGAGGACCAGGGCAGCCTACCAAGTCCCGGATTAGTGCTGTGGCCGCTGAAATCAAGCAGATCCGAGCCAGAAGGAAAACAGCGAGGATGTTGATGGTGGTGCTTTTGGTGTTTGCAATTTGTTATCTGCCGATTAGCATCCTCAATGTACTAAAGAGGTAAAGGACATCTACTATTTGAAAATAAAGTGACTTGACATTTTAATTAAGAACTTTTGTTGTTGTTGTTGGCAAAACCCAAAATCTCCACTTTCTGCCTTGATAGCTTGTCAGGCCAGATAACTCAGTTATGCTGTTGTTACCAGCAGGTAAGGTGAATATCCTCTGAGAGTACATTGACATGTGCTCTTGTTCATGCAGATTCTCAATTGAATGGCAGACATAAAACAGACCTTTCCTCTAACCTCCTCAAGCTAATTGCTAAGCCTAAGATGCAGAAAAAGTTCTAATGCCAACAAAACAAAACAAAACCAAAAAAAAAAAAAAAACCTCATTTACAGCTTAAGAATTCTTTTTTGATGGAAACAAATGGGTTTTGCAAAACTTTGTTCTCAAAGAGTAGGCAATCATGAAAAAATTCTCTCCAAAGGATAAAAAGAGATAAGCTTTTGTTTGAAGCACTAAACAACAACAAAAAATAATCAAAACAGATATTATGTGCTGAATGTCTAAACTTAGAAGAGAAAATCCCTTTAAATTACTGAAATATTCTCAAGTTGAAGATTAATAAAAATTAGCACAACATTTTTCAATGGCGGAAAGTATAGAATTTGTTATGCTGCAGACATGACTACTATTAAGTTCAGATAATGGGTCAATATGACAGGAAAAGTGGTTGCAAAGTCAGTGGTCTACTCTGAACTTCAGGACCAGTCAACTTTATTGGGAATTAGCAAAAATATTGCAAATAGACAGGTCCCAAGGCTATACTAATTCTGTTTATAATAGACTTCAAACTTAACCTTGAATTGCTGCTTTTCTTTCCTGCTTCAGAGTCAATATCATATTCCTCACAGCTGGGGACTCTGGAGAGCAGCAGCTTTGGCTGGAAACTGACTAAAGGTGGTAGAACCAGCTCCAAAAATTTCTCATTCTCTTTGGCCCTTGTTTTTGATTGCCTAATGGCTTTTTCAATAGAGAAAAAAATAAAAAATAAACTTTTGTTCAATAATATTATTTACTGCCATCCCAACCTTAAAGGTATAAGATTTTGGGTGGTTTTTCCTTGAGCCATATGCTAGATCATGAAAATTGTTTTGCCTTCATATCTTTCCGTAATCACCTCTTTTTATTTTTCTTGCTCAGAGAAATCCCATACAAATTTATTCTGAATTTTTGCTAGATGTTGTGTTCTGTTCTTAAGAATGTTATAAGAAAATATGCAATGGTCATGGGTGAGTTTCTTACTCTCTCCTTTATTACCCAGTCAAAATTCAACAAAAAAGTGGATTTACTGCTCTCTTGGTTGTTCATTTGAATTTCCTATATCTCAGCACTTGTACCTTTTCCTTTCATTATTTCCAAATACTTACTTGTCAGTAATATTTATCTTATACTTCTGAGTTAAATATCATCCTATCCAAGGAAAACAAATAGCTTTCTAAGGAAAAAGTCCAAGTTCAATTTAAAATATTTTCAAGCTTTTGAGTGTTTTCTTTCCCACAAAGTTAAAATGTTTTAAAAAGAATCTTGAAAATCGTTCTTCTCTTTACCACATACATTTTCTTAAAATACTTAGCTCTAGGTTTGCCCTGAATATTAAATGCTTTTTTCTTTCTCTCTCACATACAAAAATATCCTAGCATCTTTTCCTTGAAACTTAACTTTTTGCCTGATCAGTCAAATCCAACAAATAAGAAGTATTACTTAAAAGAAGTGCTTTTTAAATCATAATAGTATGTGAATATCAACACGACATTGTACAATTGTATTTAGAAACAAAATGAAATAAGAAGGATATATATTCAATTTCTGTATTTTTTACCATAAAACATTGCATTTGCTGTTTACAGAAAGGAGAGGACCCCCGCCATCCCTCTGATTTTACTCAGTTTTTGATTTACTGATTGAGCCATGGTGTCTCTGTTCAGGTACTGAGGCTATTCTAAAGGGACTCTGCTGTCATGAAATTATCAGTGGTAGATACCTTCTCAGAGGACTAGGGGTTAGGGCTCTACCAAGGGCCCCGCTCACCTTTGAATTGATTATTTAAAATGTGCCTCCCAGAATCACTCTGGATTTTCTGTTTTTGTTTCTTTTCCTACAGAGTATTTGGAATGTTTGCCCACACTGAAGACAGAGAGACTGTATATGCTTGGTTTACATTTTCCCACTGGCTTGTATATGCCAATAGTGCTGCAAACCCCATTATTTACAATTTTCTCAGTGGTAAGTTTTTAACTAATTTTTTTTCTATAAACCACAATTCTGAAAGAAGCTGAGGGATCGATAACCAAAAGTTTGGAACAATCTTGAAGTATGTGAAGAGCTTTGTTGCTACTTGAAACAAATTTTCCTCTGACCTGATTTGCTTGAGTTTCTTCTTTTCTGAGAAGAAACACATTACCTCACTCATCAGGAAAATTATCTAAGTGTTTTTTTTTTTTTCTGGTAAATTTAAGAAAAGTGTTGAAATAGGGAGAAAGTGAAATTTGTAAGAAATGAATAACATAGAATCTTGTGTGTCATACTTTAAACTTAATGATTCACAATCATAAAATAATTTTTATCTATTTATTGTTCCTTTTCCAAATTGTGTGGTCTCACTGACCACTAAAACTATTGTTCATAAATTATACATAATGTAAGCAACATGCACATACACACATCTATAAATTATTCACTCTACCTACGTCTATGGAAAAAATATGATTTTAAAAATTATTTTAAATAACTATTGTTTTCTTTCTATTTTACCTGCCTGACTTTTAGAATTGCATTTTCATTGACTACATCTTTGATTGTCTTCTTCTCTAACCTATTAGCTTAATATATGATATTTTTTAGATGTAAAAATAACAATTCATTTTATTGCCAAGTCAAAGTCCTGGTATGGGTTTAAGAATGAGTTAGGGAAAACAACCAATAATTGCTGAAACTTGGGGTATCCTGATGCTTTAACATTCATCTTCTCATGTAAACACTTGGTAACCCAACTGAGGCACAAAGAAAAGAAGTGATGATTTCCAGCTCTTTCATTAGCTCTAATAAAGGTGATTGTTTCATTTCACAACTTTCCAGTTGTCCATCAATAATTTTGATCCAGATTTCTAAAGATTTTCCCCGCTTCTATATTTTCTTCTGATATAAGTTACGAAGCTTATAAATGGTTTAATATATTTTTCTAGATATTTTGTTGAACTTTGGTGTGCCATTAGTATCTCCTTTAGAATGAAATTGAGGGAGTCATTTCTGTACAGTTTGGGCAATGCATAACATGGCTTTCATTATTTTTGAATAAAAATAATGTATCTCTGAGTATGCCTCTATAGATGATCATTTTTATTGTAATTATATACTTCAATACAATTAAATTCATAAATACATAACCTAAAAGGAATGAAACAAAGAGTGAGCATCACATAGAAGAAGTCTCATTGTTACAAGAATCTACCAATAACATTAATTTCCTTTCCCCATTTTTTCCATCTTTGTAAAACATTGCACCTCGTTGGTAGTTTGGCTCAGGGGACTTCCTCAGTTGTACCTTAAGCGGTATTTGTTGAAACGTTTATGCATAATTCCCTTCTATTTCATTCTCCCAGGAAAATTTCGGGAGGAATTTAAAGCTGCATTTTCTTGCTGTTGCCTTGGAGCTCACCATCGCCAGGAGGATCGTCTCACCCGGGGAAGGACAAGCACAGAGAGCAGGAAGTCCCTGACCACCCAGATCAGCAACTTTGATAATGTTTCAAAACTCTCAGAGCAAGTTGTGCTCACCAGCATAAGCACACTCCCAGCAGCCAACGGGGCAGGACCACTGCAAAACTGGTAGAATATTTATTCATATGACAAGGATACCTGAGTCAAACTATTCTTTTTTAAAATATCTGTAAAAGAAATTTTATTACCCTAATGATCTGAAACTAAAATTATTCACTGATTTTTTTTAAAGATAACTTATTGCTCTTTGAAAATAAAAAAAAAAAGTGAGTTTAAACTAATCTCAACTTTTGACTTGAACATGTTAGACGTTTAACATTACTGAACTTATTTCAGGCTATTTGACTTTTAGCTTCATGTATTTAAACTTGTGTCAATTAAATGTTTGAACATTTCTAATCCTTTATAATCCCTTGTTATTTTAATCTCACACATTTTCAAATTGGCTGTTAAAAAATCACCAAGTATTATTCAGTGATTTTTCTTTTGGTTACTAAAAGAGATAGCAATTACTAACTCTTGATTAACAACTGCCATATATTAACAACTTCATATTTTTTTAAAAACTCACAAAATACTATCAATACAATGTGACATCTGAAAGAATATATATAAAATAAAATATTACATTAGAAAATTTATAAACTACCTTTCATAATCACATAAAATAAGTACTATTCAACTTTATTTTCCACTAGTTTACCACTCATTGATGGCAATTTTCTCAGGTTTATAACCTTACTGTTACAAATATTTCTTCCCCAACATATGACCAGTAAGACAGTATATTAAAATTTTAAAATTGTAGTAACTCCTAGTATGTCATGATTTCTGTCTCTTAGGAAAAACTTTAACATTTAAAAATAAGATAAAATCAAGGTGACAGGGAATAAGGAAGAGGTGAGTGCCTTCGAGAGAGTTATAGTCTAGGCAGGGAGACACGTTGAAGAGCACAAGAGGACACACAACTCAAGGGATGCTACCTGATGTGGCAGCGCTGTGGCACAACTAAGGAGGATGGTCCTCACCAGAAAATGGGCCATACATTTAATTACACTCTCTATGCCAGTGATTTCCACTGGGCTTGTGCTGAGATTCAGGTAGTTAGGAGAAAAGAGAGCCTTGCTGTCAACTCACACATAAACTAAAGGAGTAGAGCATGTGTAGCATAAACAATAGATCTGCAACTCAAAGCACTGAGTACTTTAGATTTGTTCTTCTTCAAAAATCTTCTGATTCAAATATTCACCTTGAAATTACATTAAAAGTAGAAGAAGGGTTCATGAAACAGTGCTCTTCATCTCATAGTATAGCAGCAAGTCTTCTGATTGTATTAAAACAAGATATGGACACAATTTTTGAGAAAGATTTGGACAGAATATTTTTAGAAGATAATTAATATTTTATTATCTCTTTCTTTTTTGCCCTACTCATCATTTTCAGAGAAAAGTAATGCATCCAGATTTGTTTTATAATCTTTTGAATTTAGGATTCTGTTACCTTGTGCCTTTTCCTACTCAAAGCAAAAACAACCCTTTTATACAGGTTTATGGAATGACATTGCTAAATATCTCCACTATTATCAGTGAAAATAGTGTATTTTGTACATGTGATAATTTTTTGTCTTATGTATGTTGCATGAAAGGAGAGTTGTAATTTTCAGATTGGGATAAAAGTTAGCACTTTAAATAGTTTGAGAAAAAACTCAGATACTTTGGTAACATGCCTTAATAGACAAGTAAAGCTCAGAATAAGAGTGAGTATTTTAAAAACTATTAAACCTAGTTCTTACCATTTAAAGGAGAGAGAGAGAGAGATTTAAGAGTGAATGAGAGGGGGTGGGGAGAGAGAGAGAGAGAGAGAGAGAGAGAGAGAGAGAAAGAAGAAAACTCAGAGAGGTGGCATTTGTATAACTGCTCTGAAATCAGAATTTCTTTGCTCTAAATCAGTGATTCTCAAAGTGTGGTTCCTGAATCAGCATCAGCATCTCCGGGGAACTTACTAAACATGCAAAACCCAAACCTACTGAACCAGAAACCTTGGGGTGGTACCCAGGAATCTATGTGTTAACAAGACCTACAGGTGATTTTCAAGCACCTTAAGATTTGAGAAACACTGCTAAAAATGATACCATTGGCATCAATTTATTAGCCCGTGTGAAATAAAGTCTCTTACTGCACAGGTATCTACAACAGGGACCACCGTCATCACTACTATCAACTTGGTTGGAGGTCTGAAAGAAGAGGCTGAGTGTCAATGCTGAACCTCACAAGTGTCATCTCACTCAAAGAGATAATGGCTTATAAAATAAGTGCCACTGTGTTATAAGTGCAGTGTGAAAGAAGACCGGTGTCCAGGAACTCATATGCTTATAGTAACCTGAATGACTTGTGTTTTTAACTAAGACTTTCAAATTCTCAGTTTTATTTATTAAAAAATTAAGTTTGGGGAAAGCAGATTATTTTTTAAGAATGATCATTACCTGGAAGGAAAATCATAAAATAAAGCCAGTACTTAAACTCTGGGAAAGGAAATAATGGACCATGTATGTATCTCTCAACATGTGGACCCTGGAACTTCCTAAGAGAGCTGGACTTGTATGGGTACCTTAATAGGACAAATGGTAAAGATACAAGTGTTCATAAGCCCTATGAATGTGATGGAATAAAGGGTCAACTACTTACCTCATTATGTGCTAATGACACAAATGAGAAGATTTGTTATGAAGATTGTGTTCGGCCATTTTATGCTATACAATTGAATATGTATCTCTGTTTTTTTCTGTTACATTTTAAAAACAATGTAGTAAGATGTCATTGTCACTGAAATTTTATTTTCAATAGGGATAATAATTTTACCTAATATAGACTATGTTTGAGTTTTATTATTTCTGCATTACTACAAAACCATGCAAACCTAGATATTTGAGTCATTCATTCTTGACAATAGATTGTAGCCAGTTTGTGAGAAAAATTACTTTCAAATTTCACAAAACATGAAGAATTTCTGGATATTAAATACCTGTCACAAATTGTTGGTAAGTTTATTGCCGTGTTCACCACAATGATATCAAGTTTCACTCCCAGTGTACATTGTTGTAAAGATGATCAAGAAAATCCACATAAAATGTACTCTGTATATGCTTAAATCTGAAACTTCAGAATGGCAAAAACCCCAAAGTTGTTTGATCCAAATTACAAGGAGGGCTATTAGTATTTTGATACTAGTGTAATAATACCATGTTTTGCATTTGGTGTATATCATAATAATAGTCAATTGCTTTTCAAAAATATATGGCTAGTTATTACAATTTAGAAAGCTTTTTATGAAAGTTAATTTCACAACTGATGGCTTTTCTACTTCCTACAAGTCACAAGTCACAACTCAAACAAAAAATAATAATAATTCCAGTAGCTTATGTTCAAATGGTTCTCAAGTTGCATGAAGCAAAATAATAGTATTTTTTAGAGTCATTATATAAACAGGAGAAATATTGCTAATCTGTCAATTTTATTACTTTATTTACCACAGAAAATGAAGTACAAAGGCATGAAAAACACTTACTCAAAGTTCAAAGGGACTTGTCTTCTAGATAACCACTGCTACTAACAGGGGGCAAAAGATGCCCCCTGATTTGCCACGTATTCCTATTCTTTAAATTTTCTTTATAACTTTTGAAGTTTGAAGGTCTTTTAAGTTTTCCATGAAATGTGTTTTTCTAGTTATGGTGTTCCAAGTGTGTAACATCATGTCAATTGTTCAACAATTATACTTTTAAAAGTTATTTATGCCTGAGTGTACTATCTTCATAGGAAATTTCTTGTCAAACCCAAGGTGATTACACATCCACTGCTGTGAAGAGTACTCATGATGCAGTTTTTAAGTAAAAAAAATCATATTGAGAATTCTATAATCACATCATACTGCCCTCTCTATTGTAAGAAAAATTTTGTTGTTGTTGATTAGATAAATTGAATATTCACTCATAATTAGTGTCAAATCTTTGCAGTTAAGGATCAGATTAAGCCCTCTGGTGCAGTACTTAATGACCAAAATATTTTTCCCAATAAGTTTATATAACCAGGGATAATCATGTTATAAAAGATCTTTAATATTGTTTCTAAGAGCCGTATTACAATAAAGGTTAAGATTAATACAGAAATATTTCTTAAAAGTTATATAAAGTTATGTACATAAAGCATTAAATTTTGGAGCTTTCGTTCTGAGTCAGAGGTTCAATGTACTTTTGACTTAGAGAAAACAACTTCATGATTTTCAATTAATTATCATATTATGTAAAGCATCCATTTACATAATCAATTGTTCTAAGCCATTATATGTAAGACTGTTTAAACTCAATGGTGAATTCTGAAAATATATATTTTTCTGCTTTAAAAGATTCTGTTAAATTTCAGAGTCAAGTGCCAAGGATTTTAATGTTCAAGATCCTTTCTTATTCAGCACTTTTAATTTTAACCTTTATCAAAGATAAAGTAGTCAGGCAAGATAAATACTTGACTCCTAGGGAGATGTGATTAGAGTCTAAGGGTATTCCTCAGGAGTACGTGAACTTTTTTATAGTGAAAGATAATCTATTTCAGTGGTGAGAAGGTTTTGCTCTGAGCAATCTATGATCACTGAGTAGGTACCAATCACCTCCCCCTTGAACCAACCCTGAAGAGGGATCAGAGCATCTGCACCTTGATCCAGGCCAATGCCATGAAGGAAAAGTGGGTAACAGAAGGAGTTTCTTAGAGCACCTCTTTGGTCCCATCTTCCTTTCACTGCTTTCTCACTCATTGCCTATAGGGCAGATCCCCAACCTCAGCACTGATGGATCTCTTAGGAGTTTCTCTTGCCTTACTGAGCTCCTGGACCTTCCTTCAGTTCAGCACCATCCAATGACCTCAGGCTCCTTCTCCTTTTTTTCAAATATTCCTTAGTTGTCAATTGACATTTATTTTATGGGTTTATATGTGGTGCTGAGGATCAAACACATGCCAAGCAAGTGCTCTGCAGCCCAGCCCTAGGCTCTATTTCTTAAGAACAATTGGCAAGTAGTAAATTTGGAGGAAAAAAATGAAGCAGAATTCAAGGAAAAGGGAAAAAAAGTGCTTTACAATAGAAACCTTATCAATTTTACTTTTTTTAAAAGGTCAGTTATTTCCTTTCCAGAATATCAGTGATTGCCAGAATAATGTTCATCATGGACTTCTGGATGTATCGGCTCCTTTTCCAATGCCTAGTTAAGTTTGCTGTCTCAAACTGGAAAGGATCCAAGTTTTGAGATTCAAAGCCAAGGTAGATCAGTGGGTATATGTGCTCATGGAGTAGCCTATGGCACCTTCAAAAGCAAAACATGGATTGCATTACCTTTTGTAGGTCAAACCCCTAAGTAGTAACAGATAATATTTATTTTTTAAATGTTGATTTTACATAATAAATTCAAAATGAATTTCAAAATGCTAAGGCAATATGTTAATTACTAGGGAAGTATGAAATAACCAAAATGTTTGTGGAACTGGGAAACCCTTGATAGTGCCTGGTAACCTGGCGCTCCATTTCCTACTAAGGTGACACAGAGGATATCTTCAGAAATGGATAATGTTCCCTTTCACAGGACATGGATTTAAAAGATGTAAGTGGAGAACTTTTATCTAATAAGCTGTGTCCAGGTCATACACAATATCCATTATGGAATTGGAAAAAATAACCCACTCATATTAGAGCCTTACTAACACACATATTCAAGCACTGTAAAATGTTTGCAAATGTAAATCTTTGTGTGTGTGTATGTGTGTGTGTGTGTGTGTGTGTGTGCATGGTTCAACACAGGTAGTTGGTCTGCAAATATCTCACAATGTATCTTAATTTTATATGAGTCTTTTAACGATTTCTCTTTTATCTAGTTCACTCTCTTATCTTTTAATCTGGTAACTAGTTCTCCTCACCCTGTTACAAATATCCAGGTTTCATATCTTTGCTGTTCTAGAAAGACTTTCCAACAGATTTTTTTTTCTTTGTATTGATTTTTGTTAAGTTTACTTTTACTGGCTTTCATATGGTTATGGAAATTAGAATAAATGAAAAGGAAAGGTCCATGAATAGTCCATCTACTCTAACATTCCATGCCAATAGTACTTTCGAATCAAATGTCTTTAATAACAAGGTCCATTCTGAAATTCCTTCCCTACCCAGAAAAAAGCAAGACCATAAATGGTACTACACTAATTTGTAGACATTGTGTACTGAAGGCAAATTTTTACTTTTTTTTTCCCTAACGAAGATCATGTTAGTTTGATACAATGCAGAGATCGCTCTTCTATAGCACTGAAAATAAAAGGTCCAAGCCAGGCACAAAGTCCTTGGGAAGTTAGGTGGACCTCAGAATTACCAGCCTTTCTCCTGTGGTACAGATTCCTAACACTTCAGGAAGGAAGACTTCTAGGGCTTCAATTATGTAGCTTTCTTTACCCGTCTCTGGTGTCATGAGCACACATTATTTTTTTCTCCTACTTTAGAAGCAATTCTGAAAATAATTTAATTATTTACAAATGCTCTTTAAGACCACACAAATCTGCAAAACTTGATCTTGCAAAGCCTCTACAACCCTTACTTCTTACTCCCCAGTCTTTGCTTTTAACTAGGTGTGTTTGGAGGCAGGAATAGGTTCATCTCATTTTTCTTTAGTATTTATTTATAATTTTCTCATTTATTCATCTTTTTTACATAGCAAATTATCCATCTGAAATGTATCTGCAGTAGGAACTCTTTACTATGTAAATCCTGTGATTTTATTCCTTTTGTCCAGAGCTGTTATAAATGTAGAATTTACCTCATTCTACTCTGGCATGTTGAAAAGGTGGCAGAACTCCTCCTCATTTAATTATTAAACTAGGTATATTGTATTTAGTTCTCCTCTGGAAGCAACTTTCTACAGATTGGTAAGAATTGACCAAATCAATTAAAATATTTGTATTACAAAACTACCTTTCTCCTGACAACGTATGTATTCTTTCCTGAATCTAGAGTCCACCAATTCTAAAAATTCCACTTTCCTCACCTGAAAATCCACTCTAGGCCTTTAGGATGTATCATCATAAATAAGTTTGTTTGGTTTTACCAACTGATTCTGAAGAATGGGCTTCAAATGCTACCCCAAGGTTGTTACAGTCACATTTATAAAAGGTGCTAACTGTTCCTTACCTTCTTGCCCCTAGATTGTGCTCTTATTATCACGTTGTTTTTTAAACATAGCTAGAATACAGTGAGATGGTGGAGTTCAGAAGGCTGAAAAAGGAAATATGTCCCTTGTTTTGAGAACAGAAGTCTGTTTCAAAAGTTCACAGCACTGTATGTACTCTGGTAAGACACTCTTTCATGCTTATTGTTCATCAACTGCTTACAAGCAGATTAAAAAGAGCCCTGAATGTAACTTGTTCAAGAAACTGAAACCATCTACCATCTGTTAATTGGTTGAAAAGTGATGGTAAGGCCAGCTACTGATGCTTATACTGGTTCTAAAACTTGATACTTTAAGAGCCGTGGTCTGTTAAGATGTTCCTTGAACAAGATTTTCATTGGGATAAAGCATTAATGAGTTCTGCCACCTTCTTTAAGTAACTGCTTTTTGTTGTTGTTGTGTTGTTGTTGTTTAATTCAATACTTAAATCAGATGAATTTAGGATGACTAAATTACAGAGCACAGAATGATAGTTAAGTATTTTATATACGTATAACAGTATCATGTTGTCACCAGGAATATCCAGAATAGATCACTAAAAACAGCTACTACCATCATTACAGAGCTTAATAAAATATGTTAAATAAACATGATTATTTTGCATAGCTATACCCCAATAAGCTCACTAGCCAGGGTTTGTATAATTTAATACCTCCACTCAAGGATTTTGGCCAATGTAAATCCTGGTCACCTATATAGAAGACAATTCATCCAATCATACAATAGCACTGATATTTTTCAGCAGTTCTTAGATGGTAAGTTGTGCTAGTGCCTCTTAAAGTTGGACATTCTGTGAGTGATTTAGTGGGAGTGGATTTTGACTATACTTTGTTTCCAAGTTTGCATTATTGTGACCAGTCTTCCCTGGTAGGGACTACCAATTTTTTTTGCTTCAATATCCCTTGAGATTCTTGTTAAAAATGAAGATTCCCTTGGTTTGGAATGGTACAGAATGGCCTTTAACCACTTATTTATCACCTGGGACTCTAGGGAGGTCCACCATTCACTCATTCATTTTAGAAAGGATTCTGTTATATCTTGGAGAGAGCGTCTCTAGTCTATGGGCCTCTCTGCCCACTTCTGACTCCAGTTGGCTGTGTTCTGTTGCAGCCATTGTCCTTGTTTGGCTTCTTAATGTTTGAAAATGTCAATATAATCCTGTTTTATAAGAACTAAATTATAAGTCCCTATTCTTTTCTAGCAATATAGCTTCGTTCCAGACTTTTGTTACAGTTCACAGATTTTCTCCCAGTTATAGATCTGTAACTAGCAATATTTGATCAAAAAGAATGCTAAGAAAAAACAAAACATTTTCTACCCTTACCAGATGTTGTCACTTTGAACTTACTTATAAATAAGCTTCCTTATGATTTTTCAGAAACTAACTGGAAGTAATGAAAAGAACCTAGAGAATTTACTTTTGCATATCAAAACCAATAACTGGAAACAATATCTTTGGAGAATTTTCTGTGGTAGATCAAGGAATCTTTCTTTTTTGTTTTCCCTGTCTTTCCATCTACTTCAAAACCTATTCTTATATTAACCTCAGGAGAAACTGGTTTCTCCTGATACAGTGTGTGTGTGTGTGTGTGTGTGTGTGTGTGTGTGTGTGTGTGTGTGTACTTTTACAGGATGTTAGCATTCTGGTCCAAAGATGAGTCCTAAAAGTACATTACTCCATTTACCTAAAATTGTGACTGACCTTGCTCATGGCATTCCAAAGTCCTAAAATGAAAGAGTTTGTAAGGAAAATTTGGGGGGGACTAAGCCCCGAGAGTACTTGTATTTTTCTTGTTTTCATCTTAATACCATTGTACAATATCTTGTTGTTGTTGTTGTTGTTGTTTTTCCAAATTGTGCTCACTTTTCAAATTGCCTGTTGGAAAGATTAGGTCTGTAACCTACTCATTCCCACCTTT